TTGTGATGTCTGTTATCTCAATTTCTGTCAGGAAATGTTATGTAAAATTATTTTAAAAAAGTCAACCATGCTATGTTGGAAAGTTTTAAAGTTTTAAAACAACTTAATCTGTTCAGCTTCAATCACAACTTCATAAGTTTGATTAGAAGTGTGATTTAAAAGGAAATATTTCTGTGCTTTATAGGTATTTTCAAAGTGTTTCTATGCTAATTTGTCACGTTAAACTTGTATATTGGATCCTGGGAGCATCATATTTAATATTAAGGTCAAAGTGTACATAACCAACACATAAAAAACAGTTTGACTCTGCTTTGGTTTATAAAAAACAAGTGGAGGAATAATATATAAGAACACACAAATGTTTCCAGCTGCTTTTTTATGCAAGATGCATGTTTTCTTCAGTCATTTAACGAAGAAAAAGTAGTGTTTTGTTCTTTTTAAACAAGCTTGTAAAACAAGAAAAGGGTGCCACATCCAGGGTTTGCTCACAATGTATAGCCAGGGTCTTAATGATTAGATTCTCTGGTTTACCAGATTTTACAGTCGCTGTTCTTACCTGCACACGTTTGTTTTTCCACAAGATATTGTAAGCCTCAGAGAGAAAGGGGAGGGTGCAGGCACACATGATTAGTGATCGAGAACGCCGAACGGGGCCGAAACACACATTCATGCACGGGAAAAAGGGACCACTACGGGCGGGAACAGGTGGAATGACAAAAACATGCAGCAAGCAACACACTGCTGGACCCTGACACACACTTCCCAATACTTTAGCCAAAGCTGGGACTGCTGTAATAGTGACTGGTGGAATAATAATGTAATAATTCCTTATGACTAGATTTTGTATGTACTTTTGTATATTGAAGTGGACATGTTAAGTGCAATTTGAAAGAAGAAATATAGAATATGATAAAAATACATTTTTGTGTTTTTGATTCTTATTCAAGACACTTAAGATAAGATAAGAGTAACATAAGAATAACTATAGTGTTACTATAGGCGGCTACAGATTTGTTTAACATTTTTGGTTGGTGTGCCTCGTGATTATTTCAATGAAAAACTGTACCTTGGCTCAAAAAAGGTTGAAAAACACAGCTTTGGAGCCAAAGCTGGGACTGAACTCTACATGCATTTCCTTCGTCTGAGTCCCATATCTCCTTTTCTGCTCATTTGAACAAGAAGCAATTGGGCTGAGAGGCTTGTTTGGTTTAGTTTAGTTTACCGTGTGTGCTAGTGTGTAATGATCAACCAATCACAAAAGTAAAGTCCCATAACGAGGGTTTAAAGGCATGAGAACTGCCCGTCCTGTGCATCTGGGGCACGGTGACCTCACCAAACTGTGTCAGCTGCCCATTACAGGACACAAAATCCCTCCTTTAAACACACTTTTTGTTATCTCGCATCGTCCAGGCCGCGGAGAAGTGTCGGATTTCATTCGGATCTCATGATATTGACCCTTTACCTACAGCCCTTTGTTTCTATGTCCGGAGTATTGTTACAGTAGCCAAGTAAACATTTATTCAAAGAGCCACTATGTGATATATGCTTTACATTACAGTCATGAGGAACGGCTCTGCTAAAACTTCAACTTTAATGGAAAATGGGGGGTTCTTTTAAAACAGTGCTACATACAGTGGGGAAAATAAGTGTTTGAGCCCTTGCTGATTTTGCAGGTTTGCCCACTTACAAAGAATGCAACGATCTATAACTTTAATCATATGTACATTCTAACAGCGAAAGACAGAATCCCAAAGAAAATTCCAGAAAACCACATCATATGAATTTATAATAATTGATAACCATCTGATGAGGAAAAATAAGCATTCTTTGTAAGTGGGCAAACCTGCAAAATCAGCAAGGGGTCAAATACTTATTTCCCACACTGTATGTGGTTTGCAACAGTTAAAATGTGACCACACAGCCACTTTTTACCCTCTGAAGGATACAGTGTCAATGAGTCGAGGTGTCTGCAAACAATTGACTCCTTGCGGCCATTTCAAAATGGGATCACCTGCTTTATGAACGCATTTGAGCCATGGTTCTGCTCGAGGTTTCTGCCTGTTAAAAGGAAGTTTTTCCTTGCCTGTGTCGCCTAGTGCTTGCTCATGGTGGGAATTGTTGGGTTTCTGTAGTTAACTTCAGAGTAGGTCTGACCTGCTCTGTTTGGAAAGCTGTGAGACAACTGTTGTTGTGATGTGGCGCTATAGAAATAAAATTGAATTGAATGATTCAGGGATTCACGATAATTTAAGGAGAAATCCACAATTTTGCTGTCTTACAACGCACATTTTTACAGCATCACATCCAGATGTTTGTTAGAAGGAAAATGTGGAATTTAAATTTTTCTCTACATTTTGAACAAGTTATGATCTGAAAAATTCATTAATCTGTTAAAAAAAATCATGCAAAATGGAAACAAATTCTGTGATTGACTCCCCCAGCGTGTACTGTTCAACTCAGAGAGTCCAACTTCACTCAGAGCCCAAAATAAAAGGCCTATGATTCATTCATTCACCTATGACTAGGTTGCTTAAAGAAGTCCTGTTAAGTGCCTGTTAAAGGAAGTTTTTCCTTTCCTGTGTCGCCTAGTGCTTGCTCATGGTGGGAATTGTTGGGTTTCTGTAATTAACTTCAGAGTAGGTCTGACCTGCTCTGTTTGGAAAGCTGTGAGACAACTGTTGTTGTGATGTGGCGCTATATGAATAAAATTGAATTGAATTGAATTTAATTTGGAATGTTCCAACTGGGAAGCTCTACGTTGATTTAAATCTACAGCTGGAGTTTAACCTAGACCCATCGATGTGTGGGAAACGTGCACACGGTGGCCAACACAACGCACGGTGCTCACAAACAGGCTGAAGCCAAAAGGCATGCGGCGTTTCAGTCATGTTACCTTCTTCATGTTGGCACCGACATAACTTTTGGCCTCTTCTTTGAACTGGGGGAGTCTGGAAACGAGAGAAGAAATAAAAAAAAAAGAAGGCAAAAGTAAGATACCAACAGGCTTATGTTGACTTAGCCTTTAATTAGATAGATAGATAGATAGATAGATAGATAGATAGATAGATAGATAG